GCTGTTGCTGATCTCAGGGTTGACTCATGGCTTCTCAGCTCTTCCATCACCTGTGTAACCAATTCTCTGCATTAAATTATGTTTCTTGAAATGCTAGAACAAAAAGAGAGCAAGAGAAAAGGGAATTTGGATTATTTTCCCAATAAAGAAACCAAATGTTCCTATACATTCCACCTGTGTTATGGAAGAGTGATGAAGTAATTGCAAATCTGTTTCTTAAAGAAACTCTTGGAAATTATTGCCAGGTCATCTCGGCAAGCTACAAACTCCCACAGTAATTAGCTCTGGGGTAGTCCATTTGGTTGGTAGTTTGAAACAAAGGCTGATGAAGAAATCACAGGTTGTCAGGATGGACTTCAGTTTGGCTTTGGGTTTGTGGAGAAATGACTGATGAACAGGCTTCAGGAAGGAGTCAGCATCACAGAGACTCCTGCATTCAGCATGGAGTTGCAGATCTGTAGAGAAGTATGTGGAGGGGGATGGTGTCAAGTGTGGCAGCTTACAAGGACCTGTCCACCTACTTTCTATATGTGAAGGTCAAGCAAACAGCCTGAGGTCACATAGCAGGTAAGTAGCAGGGCTGGGACTTTAGTTGAGGCAGTTTGGCCACAGAGTCTATGCTTCTCATTTCTTCTTACCACTCAGATCCTCAGTCTTCCCCAACAGTAGATCCCTCAGGTGTGTGTGTGTGTGTGCACAAACATGTCAGTAGTTGTCCATCTAAGTGTTTCTTTATTTTTTTTGGGGGGGGGGGGCATCCAGCTTTTATTTCTAGCAATGCAAATTATTAACACTGTAGAAAATATGTCAATATTTTGATATAATGTTAAAAATGTGGCTGGTAGAAACACTTCAACCTGACCATCACTGGCAGAAAGAAATAATCTTGCATTTTATTTTTTCTCCTTGTTGTTCAAGTACTGTTGTCTCCATGTTCCCTCTACCACTCACCCCCAATGTAGCCATCTCTACCTCCCACTCACCATCCTACCCCCCCCCCTTTGGCTTCATTCATGTGTCCTTTATACATGTTCCTTGATGAACTTTATGCCTTTACGCCCATTATCCCATCCCAACTCCCCTCTGGTTACTGTCAGTTCATTCTTTATTTCAATGTCTCTGGTTATATTTTGCTTGCTTATTTGTTTTGTTGATTAGGTTCCACTTATAGGTGAGATCATATGGCATTAGTCTTTCACTGCTTGGCTTATTTCACTAAGCATAATGCTGTCCAGATGCATCCATGCTGTCAAGAAGAATAGGAATTCCTTTCTTTCTGCTGTACACAATTCCACTGTGTAAATGTACCGGAGTTGTTTGATCCATTCATTTACTGAAGGGCACTTAGGTTGCCTCCAGCACTTGGCTACTGTAAATTGTGCTGCTATGAACATTGGAGTGCATAGGACCTTTTGAATTGGTGTTTCAGGATTCTTGGGCTACAATGCCAGCAGTGGAATTGCTGGGTCAAAAGGCAGTTCCATTTTTAGTTTTCTGAGGAAATTCCATACCCTTTTCCACAATGGCTGCACCTGTCTGCATTTCCACCAACAGTTCGCTGGGAATCCCTTTTCTTCACAAGCTCTCCGGCATTTGTTTGTTGATTTGTTTATGATGTCCATTATGACCTGTGTGGACTGGCATCTCATTGTGGTTTTAATTTGCATCTCTCTGATAGCTAGTGATGCTGAGTATCCTCTCATGTGTCTCTGGGCCCTCTGTATGTCCTCCTTGGAGAAGTGTCTGCTCAGATCCTTTGCCTATTTTTCCATTGTGTTGTTTGCCTTCCTGGAGTGGAGTTGTGTGAGTTCTTTATATATTTTGGAACTCAAACCCTTGTCTGTGATATCATTTGTAAATATATTTCCCCATATTGTTGGTTCCCTTTTCATTTTGCTGATGCTTTCTTTAGCCAAGTAGAAGCTTTTCATTTTGATGAAGTCCCACTTGCTTATTCTTTCCTTGATATCAGTGTAAATATTGTTGTGTGGAATATGTGAGATTTCCCTGCCTATGTTCTCCTCTAGGATTTTCATGGTGTTGTGACTACATATTTAAGTCTTTTATCCATCTTGAGTGTATTTTTTTGTATGGTGTAAGTTGGTGGTTGAGTCCCTTTTTTTTCATGTAGCTGTCCACATCTCCCAACACCATTTGTTGAAGAGGTTCTTTTTACTCCATTTTTTGCTTCTTCCCCCTTTGTTGAATATTAATTGACCACAGACACTTGGGTTTATTTCTGGCTCTCTATTCTGTTCCTTTGATCGATGTGTCTGTTCTCATGCCAGTACCGGACTGTCTTGATTACCATGGCCTTGTAATATAGTTGATATCAGGTATTGTGATCCTTCCTACTCTTTTCTTCTTTCTCAAGACTGCTGTGGCTATCTGGGGTCATTTATTGTTCCATATAAATTTTGAAATGTTTGTTCTATGTCTGAGAAATATATCATTGGTATTTCCTATGGATTGCATTGAATCTAAAAATTGCTTTGGGTAGTATGGACATTTTGGTGATGTTAATTCTTCCAATGTATAAACATAGTATATGCTTCCATTTATTTGTGTCTTCCTTAATTTCTTTAGTCAGTGTTGTGTAGCTTCCTGAGTGCACATCTCTTACCTCCATGATTAGGTGTACTCCTAGGTACTTTATTTTTCTTGTTACTACATCAAGTGGGATTTTTTTTTCCTGACTTCTGTTTCTGATATTTCATTGTTGGTGTACAAAAATGCCTTTGATTTCTGAATATTGACTTTCTGTCCCACTGTTTTGCCAGATTTGCTTATTAGGTCGGGAAGATTCTTTGTGGAGGCTATAGGATTTTCTATGTTCACTATCATGTCATCTGCAAACAGTGACAGTTTTACTTCCTCCTTTCCAATTTGGATGCCTTTTTTTTTTCTTGCCTGACCACTGTAGCTCTATCACTTTCAGTACTATGTTGAATTGAAGTGATGAAAGTGAACATCCTTGTCTTGTTCCTGATCTTAGTGGGAAAACTTTTAGTTTTTGCTCATTGAGTATGATGTTGGCTGTAGGTTTTTTGTATATGGTCTTTATTATGTTGAGGTATGCTCCCTCTACTCCCATTTTGCTGAGTGTTTGTATCATAAATGGCTGCTGTACCTTATCAAATGCTTTTTTCACATCTGTTGATATGATCATGTGATTTTTGACTTTGCTTTTGTTTATGTGATGTATTACATTTATTGATTTGTGAATATTGTACCATCCTTGCATCCCTGTGATGAATCCCACTCGATTACGGTGTATGATCTTTTTCATTTAATGATGGATGTGGATGGCCAATATTTTGTTGAGGAGTTTAGTGTCTGTGTTCATCAGCAATATTGACCTGTGCTTTCTTTCATTGTTGTGTCTTTACATGGCTTTGGGATTTGTAGATGTCCGCTTCATAAAAAGGGTTTTGGAGTCTTTTTCTCTTCTTGGATTTTTTTGGAGTAGTCTGTGAAGGATGTGGGCTAGCCCTTCCTTAGGTGTTTCCTAAAATTCTCCCGTGAAACCGTCAGGTCCAGAGCTTTTGTGTGCTGGGAGTTTTTTTGATTACTGCTTTGACTCAGTCAGCTGTTACTGGTCTATTCAGGCTTTCTGCTTCTTCTTCATTCAGTTTTGGAAGATTCTGTTTTTCTAGAAATTTGTCCATTTTGCCCAGGCTTTCAAATTTCTTAACATAATAGTTGTTCATAGTTATTTCTTACAATCCTTTGTATTTCTGGAGTATCAGTGGTAATCTTTCCTCTTTCACTTCTCATTTTGTTTATTTGGGACTTCTGTCTTTTTTTTTCCTTGATGAATGTGCTTAAAGGCTTGTAGATTTTGTTTATCTTTTCAAGGAACCTGATCTGGGATTTATTGACCCTTAGAATATGTCATTTAATTCTGCTCTGACCTTGGTTATTTCCTTCCTTGTACTCGCTCCAGGCTTTCTGTTGTTGTTGTTGTTCCTCCAGTTCTGGTAGATGTAGGGTTAGATTGTTTATTTGAAATCTTTGTCTTTTTTAGGTAGGCCTGTAGTGCTGTGAACTTCCCTCAATACTGCCTTCACTGTGTCCTATAAGGTTTGGACTTCTGTGAGTTCAATTTCATTTGTTTCCAGAAAGCTTTTGATTTCTCCCTTGGTCTCATTTTAAACCCATTCATTGTTCAGTAGCGTGCTAACCAATTTCCACTAATATGAGTATTTTTCAGTTTTCTCCTTGAGGTTGGTTTCTAGTTTCAGGCCCATGTGGTCCAAGAAATGCTTGATACAATTTCAGTTTTCTTGAATTTGTTGAAGGTTGTTTTGTGTCCTATCATGTGGTCTATCTTTGAAAATATTCCATGTGCATTTGAAAAGAATGTGTATTTTGCTTCTTTGGGATGAAAGGGGATATATATATATATATATATATATATATATATCCCCTTTTTCCTGTCCATATATATATATATATATATATATATATAGTCAGTTAAATCCATTTTGATCTAAGCATTGTTCAATGCTGCAATATCCTTGTTGATATTTTGTTTGGAAGATCTATCCATTTTTGACAGTGCGGTGTTAAAATCCCCTGGTATAAGTGTGTTGCTGTCTATAGCTTTCTTGAAGTCCTCCAAGATTTTCCTTATATATTTCAGTGCTCCTATATTGGGTACATATATGTTTATAATGTTTATGTGTTCTTGATGGATTCTTTACTTGAGGATTATGAAGTGTCTTTCTGGGTCTCTTTTTATGGCTTTTATTTTGAAGTCTATTTTTTTCTGATATGAACATTGCTATCCTGGCTTTGTTTTCCTGTCCATTTGCTTGGAATGTTGTTCTCCAACCTTTCGCTTTCAGCCTGTGCAGGTCTTTTGTTCTGACATGGGTGTTTTGTAGGCAACATATGTACTGGTCATGTTTTCTTATCCATTCAGCTACCTTATGCCTTTTGACTGGACCATTTAATCCATTTACATTTAAGGCTATTATTGATAGGTACTTATTCATAAAAATATGGAATGCTTCACAAATTTGCCTATCATCCTTGTGCAGGGGCCATGATAATCTTCTCTGTATCATTCCAGTTTCACTATATGTGCTGCTGAAGCGAGCACCACCTAAGCGTTTCTTACGTCTCCATGAGGGTTTGTGCCACTCACTGATGCCCATTTGTGAGGAATCCACACTACAGCTAAAACCTGTGAAATGTTCCTTCCCAGGTGGAAAAGGCAGTGAACAAGCTGGTCCTCCAAATGCCCCACCAACTTTTCATTGGGGGCAAGTTTGTGGATGCTGAGGGTGCCAAGACCTATGACACTATCAACCCGACAGATGGAAGTGTGAGTGCATGCCCAGCACCCCCTTCTTGCCTCCCTGCTACTGCTACCCCATCCATGGTGTGTTCTCCCATCTACTCCCCTATATGACCTCTGGGGGTCCTGTCCCAGGGGACTTATGCTTGGACACAAAAGGATTGCAGTCATTCTCCAGACCTCCTTACAGGAATGGCACAGTGGAGAGGTTGGCGGGGGTTGGGGACCAGAGGACTCTAAAGGGTCTTGAGCTGGCTCCATAGGCCTGGAATAGAGTTAAAACCTCCCAAAGAAGACAAGAAGACCATACCCTCCTCCACATTTCAACAATTATCCCAGTGTGGGCCCCACCTTCCCAAATATTTGTACCCCCAATATCAGGAAATTCTTCCTTGAATCCTGTGTTTGTCAAGATTCTTGATTATGACCCTCTTATGTCGTGACCCATGCACACATGTATTCTCACACATGTACATACCTGGAACAACAGAATATATTCTCACAGGTATATTCTGATCATTTTCTATTCTGTCCCATTCTACAGCATCACTTCAGTTCGCGCAGAAAAGTGATAGCACACTCAAAATGGCTCATCTGACGGGAGTGTAAAGAAAGTTTTTCCCAAAGAGATGAACAAATTGTGGGGACATAGACAAGGGGTTACAGTGCCCTTGGACAGGAACATCGAGCACTGCTGCCACCTCAAAACATACTTTGGGGGGTCTTGGGCTGGAGCCTATAGGGGGCAGGGGCTGCCTAGCAGGTGCTATCTATACTGATCAGCAAGGAAGCACTGACCTCACCCCTCCTTCCCTTCTCTCCCAGCTGTGCCAAGTCTTGTGCTGTAGAGAATATTAGCACCTTGAGGGTGTGCTGTGCAGAGAGGCAACCTGTCCAATCTCCTCCAATGTCTAGCCTATTCCACTTAAGAAAGAAAACTTCTGCTAAAACTTCTGCTGAAATGGGTCCATGCTTTTGGTTTGAAAACACTCAGACTCAGTCTGCAGCCCAAGTCTGCTGCCCTATTGGACTCAGTGGGAAAGTGAAGAGAAGGTCCCTGGTATGTAGAAATACAAACAGACCTTTCTTAGGACCCATCTTCCTCTCGTTGTTGCTCCCTTCCAGTGCCCTTCCCCTGGCAGGCTTTCTTCTCTGGGCACACCAGGTGGCCGGGAGAGCAGGGAGGTGCTGTGTCTGTGTCCATGTCCACTGAGCCTAGGGAGGGCTTCAGAGCTCTGCTCCACCACAGGTTATCTGCCAGGTGTCCCTGGCGCAGGCCAGCGATGTTGACAAGGCAGTGGCTGCTGCAAAAGATGCCTTTGAGAACGGATTGTGGAGGAAGATCAGCGCGCGGGACCGGGGCCAGCTCCTGTACAGGTGAGAGCCACACATCCACTTGTCAGCCACCACCACCTTCAGCTCAGGGTGAGGGTGGATGTTATGGTCCTGTCAAGAGGAGCTGGGGTCCTGGACAGGTCACTGAGGCCTGAAGCTCATAAAAGGCTACTCAGAGGAAGCGACTTGGGAGGCAAGAGGGATTTCACAGGTGGCCTTAGGGGAAAGGTATCCTGAGTAGAGGAGACAATGTGAGCAAAGATAATGAGGTACAAAGGTGAGGCAGTGCTTCAGATGGGAGCTACAAAATGGCAAAGCTAACAGCTGGTTTTGGGCAGACTCAAACAGCTGGCAAGGGCAGATGTGGGGCTCCTTCTCACATTTTCCTTTTTTTCCTCTCCCTAAAGTCAGGTGTAAAGGGCTCTCTCTCTCCTTAATTCCAATCAGAAGTCTTAGGGAAGGACTTGGGACTTCTCTGGCTTGTGACCACAAGGTGGAAGTGAGGCCCAGAAGAGAGGAGCTGTTCCTCTAGAATTAGGTGGTTCCGGTGGGGGTGAAGCAATCACTCCAAGATAGTGGAGTGATGTTTCCAGCAGAAGGGAGGGTGCTGGACAGATGAACTGAGCAGTATCTAAGAACCTGGTGATACAGTTTCAGGAACCTGGCTTTGATGCTCTGGGTTCTGGGAAGCTGTCTGGAATGTGGCCTGATGATAGTGTAGCCCGAGCATGCTTGTCATCTGGTGGGAGAGACCCCACCTTGGCCACACAGTCAGAATACCTTTTGTTTCTATTCCAGAGGTAAAACATGCCCCAGCAGTCCTCCAAGCAGGAAGCCAAAGAGAGAGGCCTATATGGCTTGCAAAATGGAATAGAGATGGTGGGGTTTAGGACAGGTGAAGGATATGGAGGTTCTCGCCCAGCCTGCCTTAACTTTAGTTTCTAGGATTCTTGGAGAACCTATCCATTTTAGGAGGCCATGGGCTAGTGACCTAGAGCCTCTGAAGGTCAGTCAGAGCTGTGAAATGTGCATACATAGGCTGCTGGCCGTGACCTGCAGGCCCTGGAATAGGGACCTTTGTGGTGGGTGGCGTTGGCCCAGAAGAAAGTGTCCTTCCCTTGAGATACTCTCCTGCCATCTGGTGGTACATGTAATAACCCCACCAACAACAAAGACAGTGAGGAGGTGTTTGCATGCACAGCTTTAAGTGGAGACTCCAACTGGGTAGACAGACATCTCAATGCCTGAAATCTAGTGACCTGCTCCCTGCTCTGTCAGCCTCCCCATCCCCAGGGAAGAGGCATGCCCATTGCTGCCCTGGAAGGGGGCAGGAGAGAATTCCCCAGAGAAGTGGCTGCAGAACACCCTTGGTTCAGTGAGGGAAGTAGGACCACCACGGGTATGATGGAATATGAAAGGCATTATAGGAATAAGACATGATGCTAGAAATTTTAGAAGCTGGAAAGATAGATCCAGGAAGGAGAGTTAGAGAAAGCTACCAGCCAGCCCTCCAGCACTCCAGGGAGACAACATAGAACCTCCCTGGCAACCTAGGGGCTGTCTTTGGCTCATTTGTAATGTAGATTTGTATCTTTGGCTCACCTATCCTTGTAGCTGATAGAACCCTAGTCCTTGAAATACACAACATGGTGTTTTCAATAATTGGTCTATAATTTTTCTCAAGTGATTTACCCATAGAGTGACCTGGGCACTGTTTCTGAGGTGACAGTGTGGCTCTGCGGCTAATTCGTTGTGCTTATTCAGTCCACAGTTTCACTCACCAATCTTGCATGGTATGCAGCCCATGTGCCTAGTGAGAGGCAGGAGGCCAGATGCTGTCCCTGCCCTCATGGGTGAGGCAATAGTACTGAAATACTCATCTAAGTGAATGTCAGTGGAAGTTGGGAAGTTTGAAAAGAAGCAAGGGTGCTATCAGGACACTTCAGGGAGACAGGATTGATTGCTTTGGGGTGGGTAGGGTTAGGGTCAGCTTCCTAGAGGGTCTGAACGAGGTACAGAAAGTTGAGGGGGGAAACTGGAGTACAGGAAGAGCAGTGTGGGCCCATGTCATGCCACATGGCTCCCAAATTCACAGGCAAGTGGGTGCCACAGCCCTAGGAGGAATTAGGCAGGTCCTTGGGGCTAGTCGCTCAGGCACAGGGTAGGGGCTGCATCCTGGGTGCTACGGGCAGCCATTGGGAGAACTGGAGGTGTAGGCAGGAAGACTGAAAAAGACCTGGGGGTATTAGGGCCTTGCCAGTGGCTGTATGCAGAAAGGAACAGAATGGGAAGAGGTCAGTAGGCTTTGATCCCATACTTGTCTTTGGGCTCAACCTTCTCCATGTGCAAGATTGAGGGCTGCTCTAGATCGGTGGTCCCTACCTTTGCCAGTTCACCCTGCCTGCTGGGCGCATATGACCCTTACATCAGGAAAGGGGGCACCATTCTAATTCCTAGGTTGACCACAGCAGCATGCCCACCAGAATCATAGGAGAACAACCAGACATCAGAGTGCTCAGACTCCAGGAGGGTTGTGTAGACATGCCTTCCTTCACATCCCTCCTGTCATCCCACTTTCTGTCCCTGGAGACACCAGCCTTGGGAGCAGTTTCCATTAGATTAGCTGGTGCTGGAAGCTGGATAGGCCTTCCCCTGGTAGAGGCCATCTGGAGACAGAGAGGTTAGCCTCCTGGGATGATGACTTCCTTGTTGGAGGCAGGCAGACTCCTCTGCAGGGTCATGTGTGGGGGTTATGATAACATAGTCAATTCACCATGATTTGACAAAGGAAGAAAGGGGGAGAGGGGTGGAGAGCAGAGCAGAGGGCATCATTCTCACTCACCCAGTGAAGTAAATGTTACTGTTCCATCTCATAGATGAGGAAACTGAGGTCAGCGCACCTGACTGTGCAGGGCAGGGCTCTTGACTCCTTGAAGAAGGGCCCTGAAAAAGCAGGCCAGGCCTGAACCCATCTTCCTTCCTTCCTCCATGCCTTGGCCAGGTTGGCAGATCTCATGGAAGAGCATCAGGAAGAGCTGGCCACCATTGAGGCTCTGGATGCAGGTGCTGTCTACACACTGGCCCTGAAGACCCATGTGGGCATGTCCATCCAGACCTTCCGCTACTTTGCTGGCTGGTGTGACAAGATCCAGGTGGGCACTAGGCTCCCACCCGCTGCATGAGAGCTCACACAGGCAGGCCAGGCCCAGCAGGCAGTTCCGAGGGCTCTACATTACTCTGAACGCTGTGGGCCTGAACATGGCCCACATCTACATTGCTCTGAACATGGCTGTGGGCCTCCTGTGTCTCTGTCAAGTCTGGGCTTCATGCTTCCTCTTTTCTCCCCAGGACTGAGGGATGTGGGCAGTGAGGGAGGTGGCCTACCACAACTCAGTGTTTAAGGCAACACCATTAGTAGTTCCCAGTCCTACAGGTGGAAAGTCCAGGTGGACTCCACTGGGCTCTAC